ATATATATATATATATATATATATATATATATATATATATATATATATATATATATATATATATATATATATATATATATATATATATATATATACATATATATATATATATAAACAACCACTCGCAGATATCTTATTAATAACAAATTAAATTATAATTTTCAATTAGTTTTGCTGTTTTGTTTTAAAATGCATGCGTTTTAAAATGCATGCGGCGGTCCATTACGGGAAAATAATGGTGCTGAAAGTGCTTCTCAGCCAATCACAGTCCACCATTTCACCGGAAGTGATGCTTGCCATGTAATAAAAAAGTTTAATCTATGGTATGCCAATCAACGTGTGAATTTTTGCAAGCTTGAAAAAATGACTATCCAGTGGATAGGATTATACGGCGTTCGTACAACCGATCCCTACTGTACATTTTGTGTACGTTTCTTACCAAAGGATATCTCCGTAACAGTTGTCTAAATTTTCTCATATACTGTCCAGCCAATGGATTTGTTCCATATGCCTTTATCGCTTCGCCCAATTGGCTTACTTTCGATTCATCTTTTTCGTTTAGGTCGAGATTATCAATCGTCTTGAAGAAAACGTCATTTATCTTCCATATCTTTGCGTTAAATTTGCCATATTGTTCCTCTGCCGAGGGAGAAAGTCGCGTATTCTCCAGCGCTTTTGCGATTTCATCCGAGGTTGTTTTCAAATCATGATAATAGGTCGCGACCTTTTTCAATTCGCTCTTGAGTTGAGGAGTAATACTAAATGCTTTTCTCTTGTCTAGGTATTTTAGTTCTTTGAGGGTAACCTCAATTGGAACACCTTCACCCTTATTTTGTGCTTTCACCTAAATCATCAATAAAAAGGAAAAATGAGCGTCAGCTGCAGCCTGCCTCCAGATCCTTGCCTGTCATGTATTCATGCCTTATAGTTTTCATAACATATACAACTTGTGATTTTTTTCTGTGTTGGTGTAATGTACTCAGGTGAATATGATGCTTGTGATGTTACTCTGAGTGTGTTGTCCACACCGGGCAAGCTTGAAAAATATAATCGAACCTACGACCTTTGGAATACTAGCCCAATGCTCTGCCAACTGAGCTATACGCGGTCAGGTCGGTTCGAGTGTGTGATATTTCGGAACAGAATCTATAGTTCCTTCGATATAAATGCAATTTTGTATAATCATGATTTTTTTTCTGTGTTGGTGTAATGTACTCAGGTGAATATGATGTTTGTGATGTTACTCTGAGTGTACATCCACACCGGGCAAGCTTGAAAAATATGCCTGTCCACGCTGGGAATCGAACCTACGACCTTTGGAATACTAGCCCAAAACTAACAACTTACCTGCTCTGAAAATTTTTTGATATTTTCAAGAAGAGTTTCTTGGTCAATTGGTATTTTTTCAGGAATTACAGTAGACGAGTAAGTAATTGACATTTTAGAATTATCTTTGGTCTGTTCTGCCAGTTTATTAAAGAGCCCTTCAAGTGAAACCTTCGCCTTCGCTGCATTAACTGTCCCTTTAATGCTTGCTTTTATGTCTTCTTTCTCTTCAGATTTTTTTGCCGTGAATACCATGGAAGCGATTAGGTATCCTCCATATGTCACACTATCCACATAATGTTCTCCAGTTATTTTTGCTGTATTCCAATCGATGGCCATTGGTTTAACATCACTTTTGAATCTTTTAACTACCTGCAATATAGGTTTAATTTCAAATGAAAATTGAAGATCATCTACTATACACCACTTTCATTAGCGACTGTGGAGCATTTTTTGCGATTGAGACTTGGGAGCTTTGCGATCGCCGAAGGAGGTAAGCTTGCTAGAGGGGTCACGTCAGGTGATATGCTTCCTGGAAAAGTTTGAAATCTAAGGCCTCTTAATAGAGCCAAGCGAATGCAATCAAATAAATTTGCTAGTTGCAGTTAAAAATGTTGCCTACAAATACTTACAAAACAACAGCAAATCCCAGCAAACGACTCACAAGCAAGTCATAATGAAAAGACTAAATTTTTTTGCTTACATTTCTTCAAAGATAAAGATGATAATAAAAAACATATTCCATTCCTTTTTATTGTTGTCATTTGGCTGGGCTTTAATAACACTACCTTCAAACGTACTTTTATCAAAACATGTTTCTAAAATACTCAATTTCCAGAATTGAATTTTATTTTCCTATTACTAACGAAACTGCAGTCGTTATTGGAAAGGTTTTTTTGGCAAATCTTCTTGGCGCGAATCTTACCGTTCTGTAGTAAGTTTGTGCAAGCACTTGTATTGAGTTTTGACTTTCTGTTGAAGATTTTAAATAAGATCCCTTTCCTTCAATTTCCACAACTCCAGCCATTACTTGTAAAGATAATTCACCAGATACATCTAGGACATCCATGCTCTTCGATGATGTGTCGATTAACTAGAAAAGTAGGATTAGTAGATGTAGTATAACGAGCTGCTTTTACCCATGGCCAGAAACTATGGAGTTCTACTTTTTTACTAGCAAGCAAAACACTTTTTATATCAGCCCCTAGCTATCGGTCACCTTTCTTCAATCCGGCCTAAATCACTTTGTGCCTTTAAATGGCCTATTACCTCAAACTTGTGTTCATATTTTCCAACGTTTTGAATTGATTTTTTCTTTTGGGCGTCTGCACTGTATATGTCATTTCCTACCATGGATTTTGAATAGTCAAATGTGCGGCCAAGCAACATGTTATTAATGAATGGTACTTTCAGCTGGGCCAGAGAAACATAACTAGAAAGATATTTAATAATTATTACTATACCATCATGGTAGATTACCGAAGAGGCATCAGCCACCAGGGCAGTCTGGGCAGTGACGTGCCAGAAGGGGAGGGGGGGGGGGGGGGGGGGGGAGGTTCAAGTATAGTTCAAGTTCAACTGTAATTTGTTCCACAGCCATTTTCCCTTCGGGAGGCTATATGTCATGTTTCAGTAGACAAACTATCATATTTACCTCTGTAGGATAAAACACACAACTCCCAAACTAACTTTGTTTGCACGCCTCATTCTATTTGCGAAAAGGGATGAAAAGCATTAGAGAACATACTTATATAGAACATTGTGAAACTTATTAATATTTGACGACGTAAACATAAAAGACATCATGACTGTGAATTAAGGATCGAGTTTGTCAGGGCCGTCGCGAAAAGGAATAAAGCCATATAAAAAATATCCTGGTTTATCAGCAAACAAATTTCACGCGGGCAGACGAATTTTTTTTATTTTTTTACCAAATCATACTGGCATGCATATATGCACGGAAGGATATGTTCAAACCGCGAAATGGAATGATATATACTCTCGAATGCATGACTTTTCATTTGAATTGCCATATTTTTACAAAAACCGGACCAGTTAGTATAAAATAGCAATCAATTGAAAATATGAAGCCGTTATAGTCGTTGTGACTGCAGACATTTTGGTTGAACATCAAAGAACAGGTTATAGGTTCGTTTCATGTTTTGTCCTGAAAGACCGCTACATGAAAATAGTTTTTACTTAATAAAAAATAAAATCCATGTGGCCCGAAAAACGGATTCGGTTTGGATGATAAACCGGGATATTTTTTTAAATGGTCTATATAGTTAGAAAAGGGTAAAAATTCAGATTACAAACAAGTTAAAAATCTTTATCAATGCGCATTGTACATTGTGCAATGCGTTATCGCTTAGCAGCGGAGTTTATATATAAATGAGAATTTGAAACTGTCCTATATAGAGATCTATAGACGGTAAATTGTCTACTTTTCCTCAATCAGAGGGAATTATGTTCGTATACTATCGGGAAGTAAAACGATAAATCTTTATATATAGGATTAATTCTATAATTTTAGAGAGAAATTGTCCAGCACTATATACGCATAAATCGTTCCTACCTTTTTTTATTTTGATGTGATCTTTATGGACTTGATCATAAACTGCTTCGTCTGTCTTGCAAAACTTTGTGCAAAATATGTCCTTAAAACTTCCCAACAAATGACGTTATCTCTGTGATATTGTATTTATAAATACATCCACCAACAAAAGCTTTTTACTTTATTAATTTTGAGCAGTTGTTGTTAACTTGTGGTCTTGGCGGGAATTCGGTGGATGGACGACCACTAGCTGTTCATTTTATTGAAGATACCAACACTTGGAAATGCGACCATGTTTAAACTTTGAGCAACCGGTTAATTTCATGCTAGCATAAACGTATTTCATTAAGATTAAGTGCCCTTTATTTATTTTGTATCACTTTATTAAATTAAAAAAGGTTTTGAAACAAATTTCAACACAAATGAAAGCGATTTTAAATGTATTCAACAATAAATATATATGTGTAATTAATGAAAATATATATATATAAAACATAAAAACGCCTAGTGGTATTTCATGGCGTTGTACGTGAATTTATTTGAATAAATAAATATATATTGTTTTATTATTTAATATATTTCAACTTGAAAATGTGGCTACGGTGGTATCGAAACGTGGTTGTTTAATAAATTTGGTATTGCTTTCAGTCGACATTTTATCACAGTACGTTCTTCAAAGCCCTTGGGCTATAACATTTTGCAGCAAAGCAAAAACCGATCCGAACAATATAAACATGCATAAAGGCTAAAACATTCACGTTAATTCGAAGTTGTGTAAGGTGTTTTATGTGTATTCTCTAACTCTAGGCTCTTTGCTGTTAACTAAAAATAGTCGAGAATAACTAAGCATGGAGTGTTGTGGACTTTGTAAACACAGGAGTAAGCATATGGGAATAAGAAAAAGCACAGCTTTTTTCTTGTGTATTAAGGGCCTATATTTCCCCGCTTTTCAATTGCCGGCAGAAATCACATTTTCCACTAACCTTGCTCAATTTAAGCTATATTCATAACAAAAGAAAAAGCAATTAAAATCACTATAACTACTTAAAGGTATCCTAATTGTAAAATAATAAAAATAATAATAACAATAATAATAATAACAGAAGTGACCATATTTGTCAACAATTTTTAATTTTATCCACGTTGGAGCATTTTAAATTAAAATTCATAAATATTGGATCCAAATGGGATTTATTTTCAATAATTGGAAAAATGCGAACGGCAATTTTTATTCGACTCGTATCTGGTCATTTTCCTTTATATTGAAAAGGGTAAAAACGTATAAAAAAAGACATCATTTGACAGCTAAAAGCCTGAATTTTGTTGCTGGATAAAAATGTTATATCCACATATAAACTTGATCAATATCTAACACACGCGAATATCAGCTAAAGATTACCTTTTTAAACACACTATTTAATATTCAAGTCACCGAGGACGCGCAGCGTCTGGACAAAAACAAAATGGCGTCCCGTTTTGTTCCGGTTTATGCAGACAAAGCTGTGGTTTCGCCAAACCCAAGGAAAGCCACGCAGTTTTGTTTAACAGTGTTCAGAGTTATTCCTTAAAGCTATTTCTAATGAATAAAATTACTAAAAGCGTGTACAGCGTACATACTGTTCTGTTTATAACTATTACGGGAGCTGAGCAACCTATATATAGATCAGATTAAATATCAATATATATATATATATATATATATATATATGCTATATATATATATATATATATATATATATATATATATATATATATATATATATATATATATATATATATATATATATATATATATATATATACCTTTCCCCGATACCTAGCTTTCTCGCTATAGAAACATGTTTTTCAACTCCTGTGGCTGTAGGTTTTAATTCTCCAGTTTCTTTTTTGTACCATGACTAAGTGGTCTATGTCAACAAGAGTAACTCTGCAAATTGCCCATTACAATTTTTATGATTTTTTTTCTAAAAAAAAATTGATTTACGAAACAATGCAGTCTGATTAGCTTATCAATGAAGCCAAATTTGGACAATTTGCATATACTACTATAACTTCGTCTATTGGTGATTTGCAATCAATTCTTTGGGATTGATAAGGCAAACGGATATGACAGCCACGTTGGAGAAAAATGCGCTCCAAAATCAAATACAATAGCTACTATATAATGAAATTCTTTTGTGCTAGATTCCTCCAACATCGCCGCGCGCCAGGAGACAATTGCAAAGCAAGAATATATTATGTAAATTAGTATATAAGTATTATAAGATATGTGAAAATACGAAGCGAATTCAGTAAAATTGCTAAACTTGCAATCGTTTCGGATTTTTGCCGGAACGTGATTTATTATCGCGTCAAAATTTCATTAAAATAATTCTCGAATGCCATGGCGAACCTGCGAAGCTCACGCTGAGCGCAATAAGGCGTGAAGCTAATTTCAGTTACGTCACTTGGCTTAATTAACCTATCTAAATGAAATTCATTGTTGGTACTTATTCAAAAAGTAAATTGTGTGAGAACTTATTGCACGCGCTTTCATTCATTATCATCATATTCCCAACCAAAGCAGTCTTAACTATAAAAGTGCTACAGCTGTGAAGACTTCATTGATAAAAAGGTTTATAACAGTCGAATCAAGGTATGTACTATAATTATATATAAACCCTTAGGAAAATTTCACATTATGAAAATGCCTTTTCATATGTAAACTGTTCCATTTCCACATTGAAATTAATTTTCGCATTTTTAATTTCACATGTCAAATATTAATTTAATATGTGAAAATTCTAAATTGCACAATGTGAAAGGTTCGGATTTGAAATGTTCCAATTCCACATAAAATTTCACCGATGCAGTGATATGACATGTGAATTTTCCGTAAGGGTAAATTTGGGTGAGCAATTTTGTCTAGGTTTTAGCTATATATAATTTTACATGCTTATCTCGACAATTCTATTGTTCCAGTGTTTTGCCGTGCTTCGAATATACGCTGTAATATATATAATATAACATAATATAGAAAAAACTTTAGGTCAATAAGTCGTATATAAGCAAACTGCTCTCTCAACCAAAATTCCTTAAATTACTTCATCCATTAAGATTTGATAGCATACAAATAATGAATGTTTATGAGTGCAATGTCAATGGTAAAATTATACATATGTGTATATAAAACTTACAAGTATTTCTTTCCGTACAGAAAGATGAAAGGCTTGGGAAGAAAAATCGATTTAGTTGCTCTGTTGTTGGTATCAATGAGGTACAGTGTATGATTCTTGGCATATGCAATATTTGGGTCATTCTAAGAAAAAAAATACTCATCATGCATTGAAGCAAATACCTTACTGTCATATTTGCCGGATATGATATAATTAGAAGAAGAGCCTTCGCTCCTTGAGTTAAATGCCCAAAATCTTGACGGAGAAATTAAGAAGGGCCCACGCTCTTGACGAAGGGCCTTCGCTCGAAACGTCGAGTTTCTGCTTATTTTTTAAGGTAGTAATACAAATACTCAGCACAGCATTTGCACATTGGTACTACCAACACTGGTACAGACAGTTTTAGTATAATTAGGAGGGTGGAGGGGACGGGGGAGGACGCGTTCCTATCACTTTTTAGATATTCCCAATATGTAATCTATAATAATTATGCCTGTTCGTCCGGTCTACCACATGAATTCTTTAAATTAAATGGATACTCGCTCTAGAGCTCATGAATTCTATCCGGAAAATTCTACAGTGAAAAAGTTCATCAACTTGTTAACAACTTGTTAAGTAGAAACGATGTCAGACTTGTAAACAAAATACCTAGAAGTACAGTATGATGGAGTAATTTTTAAAAAATGTTAAACTAATATACGTCATTTTCTTACCATCATAATTCTGTAAAATCTCTCAAAGGGCATGAAATGGCGTCCCAGAAACTAGTAAATTTCAAACTTTTCTGGGGGAGTATGCCCCCACCCCTATATAAGGATCTCGCGCCTTTGGCACGCCATATTTGTGCCGTTGCACCGTTGTCCACAGACCCGCACAGGCCTGGTACGGTAGGAATCGAACCTTGAGTGAAATGCCCAAAATCTTGACGGAGAAATTGAATATTTTCAGTTCCGTAACATTGGCCTCGAAATTCGTGCCGTTCATCAACAACATGCTTCTGGGACGTACATTTGATTTCTCAAAATCGGAAGTTGGGAATGATATTATAAGTGAAGCAGAACGAAAAAAGGCATTCAAAGTTCAAAACGACAGATCTGACATTAAGTACAAGATGATAAGAAGTAGCCAAGATGTTAGGGATGTTCTCGATGTCTCGGGACAGTTGTCCGTCAAAGTCATGGCAGGAACGGTAAATGTCGAAGGAAAAGGGTCGTATCTGAAAAGCTCAGTTGATAGCGAAAGTTCCGTTGAGGTGATGGTACAAGTGTATTATAAAACGGTATGTTTTTGTTTTGTATAGGAATGGCGCTTTGTACTGTCTCAAAATTTAATAGTTATACATATTGAGACCAAAACATGGAAACTGTTGAAACGTATTTTAGACAAACAATAGACCGATTCACATACATTATTGTTTAGGCTGTACCTGGTGAACGCCATTTCAGGCATTTTTAGCAACAGCTACATTAAATTATTTTTTATTATAATCTGTATAAATAATTTCCAAGGGTACAAATAAACTGTTGTTGTTGTTGTTGTTGTTGTTGTTGTTGTTGTTGTTGTTGTTGTTGTTGTTGTTGTTGTTGTTTGTTGTTGTTGCTGTTGCTGTTTTTGTTGCTGTTGCTGTTGCTGCTGCTGCTGTTGTTGTTGTTGTTGTTGTTGTTGTTGTTGTTGTTGTTGCTGTTTCTGTTTTTGTTGTTGTTGTTGTTGTTGTTGTTGCTGTTGCTGCTGTTGTTGTTGTTGCTGTTGTTGCTGTCGTTGTCGTTGTCGTTGTCGTTGTCGTTGTCGTTGTCGTTGTCGTTGTCGTTGTCGTTGTCGTTGTCGTTGTCGTTGTTGTTGTTGTTGTCGTTGTTGTTGCTGTCGTCGTCGTCGTTGCCGTTGTTGCCGTCATTGTCGTTGCTGTAGTAAACCAACTTATGAATATTTTAAAGGTAACCAAGACATTACACGATGGCATGACACTGCTAAATAATTGGGATTCAAAAGGGGTGACTGGACAGCATTACATCCGTAGCTTGGTGTATGGTGGATATCTTATTGCTTCATTCAAATATCTTACCAGCAACGACGAAGAAAAAGAAGATATCAAAGCATCTGTCAGTGTTGACGTGAAGACAGTCAAGGCGGAAGTCGGGGTTAAAGGATTATTTAGCAAACTTTCCAGTTTGTCTAAAAGTCAGTCATCGTTGACCATAACGTATACATCCAGTGTAATTTCCGACAAAGTACCAGTTGACCTTGATACACTTATGGAAGTGATTGATAATTTCAATGCTGAAGTAAGTAATATACATGTAGCTGGTATAATATGGACATCGATACTCAATATAACTAATTGTAGAAGGGTTTTGCCAGAGAGCCAGCTTTTCGTTACATTTTTCACAATTAATGCTCCTAGTTAGGTTTAATAAATATATAAAATTCACACTGGACATTTCTATTAACAAAACTGCTGGAAATATGGCCCTTATAATGTATTTTGTTAGCTTATCCAGAATGGTATAACTAGTACAAAATAAAAGGCCCGGGGAACGACGTTGGGTAACTGCCTGGGTTTTCAGAGATCAAATTTAGTTTTGTTTAAGGCTGAAATATGGCTGCATGAATGCTTAATTTATATCTATATAATTCTCATATAGCTTCATGCCAAAGCTCAATTTTAGAACTGCCCGTTCTAAGTTTTACAACTACTCATTTTACATTTATAATTGCCCATTTTAGCTAGGAAATGGGAGGCCTTAGGATGTCCTATATTTTGAAGATACTTCTGAAATGTTTCGTTACAGTTAGCGAAAATAAATGGTGGCGAAGGAGTTCCACTACTGGCTGAAATTAGAGAGTTGAGTTTCTTGCGAGACAACGCAGCAAATGAGAAATTTAAATTTCTTAAAAACAGTATGCTTACCCAGCAAATGGACGTTCTCGCGTCCATGTTCCACGATTTGAAGGTCACATCCGATGCGCTAACCGATGCCGTGGAAGACGTCGAAATGACCGTTGCACAAGAGGAAAAATACGGCGGATTCAACTACAGGCTATCCAAAATTTCAGATAGCTTCTACAAGGCCATTCAGAATCTTGACTTGAACGCATTGTCAAAGACTGGCAGTGCAACCCAGTTCAGCGAAGCGATTAATGCTTACAAAGAGAAGAAGGAAGCATTTCTGCCTGGCAAGTTTTTGAGAGAATTTCAGAAGTTTAAGAAAGAGAATCCTATTGTAAGTTTATATGCCATATATATATATATATATATATATATATATATATATACACTGTATAAGAAAATGTTACTATATGTATAGGAAATTGGAGCAGTTCCCTTTATGTTTTGATGTTTTCCTTCAGTATATCTAGTATTTTATGTTCGTTTTATTTCTTAAAGGGTGATCCTGTACTTAATGGTATCCGCACCAAACTGGTAGATTTAAGAGAAAAAGTTGGAACTTTAGACCTAAGGTTTTCAGGTATAATAATAACTTTTTTATTTGAACATATTTGGAATTGTTTTCCCCAAGAGCTGAAGCTCATCAAGGAAGATCGTGAGAGGTTAAAATTACTGTAGAGTACTGCAGACAATTTAAATAAAAATGACACACAAATAAAAGAAGATAATAAAGAAAAATATAACAATAATAGATGGTTATGTTAGAGCTTAACAACAAAATCATGAATTATGTACACAGTTGGTAAATCGTCTTGAATTCAATCTAAACAATTGGACGTTATGCAGTAACGTCTGCATATCCAAGTTTATCTGAGCCATGCAAAAATAGGTGTACTTTCTGATTTTCTAATAAGCTCGACGGTTCGACCATTTACTTGGGAGAAGCCGTGCAGATGTAGAGAACAATTTTTGACGTTGAGCAGCTAGCATATAGCGCACAGTGTAAAACGTAATGACTCAAGGTTTCAATAATTCCCCAGTGGCAATAACTTACTACTTAACTTACATATGTTATTGTTCAACTGCAATTTATTGCAATAACGCATAACGCGCCAGCAGTGGACACTCCGAATTGATTGGCTTGTTGTGTTTCACCTTCCCATGGTGCAGCAGGACCTGTGGAGGAGGCAGAGGACTGTTTGTTAACGATAGTATTCTTCGTTCTTATAGGAGAAGAATCGGCAATCGTATTTCCCCAAACGGGTGATGCTGCTTACTTGATCACGAAAGGAGCTCCAGAAATGAGCAATATAATGGTTTGTTTTTCTTCGAGGTCGCTGACGGAAAAAACACCACAAACGTACTTCTCGTACTCAGTACCGTCGTCCAACCATGCATTCAAAGCTGCCAGTGATGCAGACGGGAGAATGATGGTATTCTGGGGAACATCACAGGTGTAAGTGATTTTGACTGGAATTCGCAAAATATTTCACTGCAGCGGAAGTTTAAAAGTTGGTTTACAGTATCAAAGTTTCTGTGATCACAGTAGGAATTTTGCAGAGGTAAATTCTAAGTTTTGAAGGATTTGCAAGAAATGTTTGGTGGAGCTGGCTTAATGTCAAACACTGAGACATTTCCCTGAAACATTTCTTACAAATCCTTCAAAATTTACCTAGTATGCAAAATTCCTATTGTGCATGATCACAGGAACTTAACGATGCTTGGTAAATATTATATTGCATGTACATCACATATGGAAACCATTCTGGTCGACGCTAAAATGAATTGACAGCCTGCCCCGATTCTACTTGATGAAAGTACTTCTTTCATTATAATTATAGCTCGTTGAATAAATCCAATAAAGATTTCTATATTCAGTCCTAGTTTTGAAATCAATGATAAATTCATTTCTCAGAAAATTTGGGACGTCTAGAAAGTTGATTGCAGACGACAGAGAATGGCATTCGTGGTGTTTTTACTGGGATGACTCAGGAACGACAATTGTATACAGGGACGCCGATTTGGTTGGCGAGAAGGATGGTAATGATACACAGATTAAGTAACGACAGATGTGTAACTTCAGTAAAAAAGTTGTCCCATGGTCGCCATCTTCCTAGTCACAGAGTAGAGACATACAGAGACGTAACTAGTGTACCCACTTTTTTGTGCGCTATGCTCGGCAAGTTACTAGATGCATGCATCTGATTGGATGACGACCTGATGACGACTAACTTTAAACTTGCTGAGCACGCGCAGTTGATCATTTTTCGCCCGGTCGCCTGAAAAAAGTGGGTACATGATAACGTAATCTTCCGCAGTGTTTACAACAGTCAGTTACGTCTCTGTATGTCTCTACTCTGTCCCCTAGTCCTAGCAAGTATCGCTCGCGTGATTATTCGTCTTTTGGTATTGCGTCATTGGCATCACTTTCAAAAAAGCTTTTAACACTTTTTCTACAACTTTAATTGCTTTCAACAACTATGGCAGGATTATGGCACAGAATAGATACCGGACCAGAAGTGTCACTGCTATATGTTTTGACTGAAGGAAAACGTCCGAAATTTTTTTACGTGCAATGACGCCATCCTGGAGTGCACCCGGCACTTTGTACCTATGTTTTCCTATGAAAAACTTCCGTGTGCACTCCAGGATGGCGTCATATGATGGCGTATTTTCACGTCAGCACTCGTAAAATTTCGGACAAAATATCGTCTGAGTGACACTTCTGGTCCTCTATCTATTCTGTGACCATGGCGTCAGCATGTTGATGATGAATCATGGCGTGGCAGCGGTTACTCGAGTCAACCTTCTGTGTGCCTTATTCTCTATCTATTCTGTGTTGCTAGCAAGTGTCATGGCGTGAGCATGACGTGTACATCTGGGGACATTTGAGAACACGAAGTCCTATTAAATTATACATCTGGGGCCGGTTGTACGAAGGCCGGATAGCGCTATCCAAACTTTGTTAAATCAGTTGTTGATTGGTATAACTCGTATTAAAGTTTAGTATTTATAAGTTAAATGTTTTTTATACTTCTTGTGTCGTCTGTATCCGTAGTTTCACAGTTTTTCAAGTATTTTACAAAGGTTGAAAAAATCACTATCCGGTGGATAGCAACCGGCCTCTGGTATATTACTTTATCTGTACCCTATCCATTTTTATTTTAAACTATCGATTGTTTACTTACCAGGTATTGCTGTTGGTAAAAAAGTTCCTGCTGGAGGAACATGGGTCGTTGGAAACGAAAAGGTTAATGAGGCCAAAACTGTTTTAACTCCATTCAAAGGAGAGATAACTAATGTGAATGTCTACGGCAATTTTGACAAGAACGAGTTTCAAAAAGACGCCGTGGCCTATCGAGTGACCTCAAGTACATGCAGACCATCGATCTACAAAAATATTATAAAGTCATGGAATGACTTCAAAATTGGCTTCGCTGGAGATTTGAAAGTGCTCAGTAAAAATTTCTGCACATGATATGTAGTAGTACACTGCCAACTCTAAAACCCTCAGTAAATTATAACGATATTGCTAAATTACTAGCTTAAATTAAGTAATGTTATACACATTTGAGAACATGTAAACAATATTATTCAAGTTGTTTTTTTTTCATTTATTAAAAAGGCAGTACTAAAATACAACAAATGTATTCATTGATTTTCAGAGTTATAGTGCACCTAATCTCGCGATTATTTTTTTCATTCGTTGACCAGAGAGAGTTTAAGGGAGGTTTAAGGAAGAGGAGTGGGCAAATTGTTGCATTCTTTTGGCGAAAATTGAGCTGTTTGAATACGAACCGAATTATCGAATTGAATTATCTGAATAAAAACCAAACGTTAATAACTTAAATCTTAATACTTCAAAAAGTCAGGCGAACAGATATCTTGAAAATGTGCTCTATCTAGTAGTCGTAGCGGATAATTTAAAAATTAAAAACAGCCCTTTGAATTTTTTTGAATTTTGAATTTTTTTGGTTTTTGACAGCAGTCGTCGCTGGAAACCAAGTGGTTAAGATCAGTTTGAATCGTTGAACTTGAAGTAATTATTTGAGATCTTCCCCATTTCAGAGACTCTTCTAGATTTCAAATTGTGTCCCCTCGTGTAAGACTCGCTGTAGTTAAACATAGTCGACAGATTTGAAAGTTTTGTTGTGCAATGTTAGCCAGGTTTAGTAAATATTTCGCTTGATTTCTTTAATTAATTGGATTGAGTTCTACTCTAGTTTTCATGTAAAAATTCGCACCAATACCAACCAAGCCTCCCCTTGAACTAAATGATATATAATTGTCAGGAAAACCTGTCGTCTATTGTCCGTACTATAGTCATAGATAAATGGATGGTAAATAAAAGGAATACATCTACACAGACGCGCGGAAATGAAGTCAATCTTAAAGTACTATTTAAAAAACGAGCAGGAGTGTTTTATTAGGTTTAAAGCCACGAGCGCGAAGCGCGAGTGGCTTTAGACCTAATAAAACACGACCCGCGAGTTTTTTAAATGGCTTCAAAAACGTATGCATAATAAGTCAAATCTTTATATAAAAATCTTTATATAAAAATCTTTATATAAAAATCTTTATATAGTTTGCATAACAATGGTATTTTGTTAAAGTGTTCTTTAGCTGGTATATAAAGACGTATGCACATGACTAATTTCTTACTCAAGATTGGATAATTGCTTCATGAATTATTAATGAGTTTTTGAAATGACAAATAAAAGACATAGAACTCTTATCGAAATCTTCTCACACCACGGCATATTAATGAAACAAATTTTAATCTGTTCTGGGTACGAGGTTGGGAATTTTTTAGAAAGCGTCCTCGTTCCCTGGGCTTCTCGGCTGCCTGCAACCAGAAGCGCTGAAAACGAGGATGAGAGGATTCAGAAGATAGAGTACCAATCTCGTTCCCCGAGCCTGCGATCCTCGGGAAGGAACGCGAGGCTCTGGGATAATCCATTTCAGGGAGGAATCTAATTGGCCGTTGAAGTAGAATGCGTAGTTCAATCTTAGCCAGGATTCCTGGCTTCCGGCAACGGATTATCCCAGAGCATCGCGTTCCTTCCCGAGGATCGCAGGCTCAGGGAACGAGATTGATAGAGTATGGAAAGGTTCATCCTCGTTCCCAGGTCCAAGCTCGGGCGGCTACTGTGAGGTCCGCCCGAACTTGTGCCTGGGGACGAGGATGGGAAAAGTTTCAAATTTTCCAGTGATTTTTGGTATAATAGGGAAAAATTTAAATAATAATATTAAATTAAGATAAAGGCCGAGATTGAAATATTTCTAAATTTTATATTTAAGTACTAATTATTACCTCAATAGATATACACTTTAAAGTTTAAATTAAATCAGACAGACAGATAACTAAATTTTGTCCAATTCGTTATTTCATAGGTAAAATTTAAAGTAAAATAAAATAGTAGAACAATGTGGTTTTTGCTACTTTTTTGTTTCAAGTATTTTGTTGATTTTGTTAACCATTTGAACTCATTTATTTCAAATATTTTTTGTTATTCTTTGCAATTCCCTCTCGTAGTAGTAAGGAGGTCGGTTCGGCCCGTAAAAATCACGCAATTTCTCGACAAGACCGCCTCGCGAATACTCATTGATGTTTGATGTATTTATCACCACCTTAGCCAACCGTATCTTGAGATTTGTTTCAAATTTAGTTAATTTGTCTCGGACTGCCGGAGGCTGATTATTCCCTAACAGCGCCTCCACATCTTGGAGTACCGATCTCATTTCCGTAACTCTTTCGAATAACTCGAATAGGATCGTATTTTTCTTTGGCTTGAATGGCAATGCTTTACTGACAGTAAGTATCATGCACGGCATAAAAAAGTAGGTCAAATGCGCATTCTTGTTTCCCACGAGGGCATCAATTGTTTTTTTCTGGATCATCCCTCTGTTTGCGTCCATTTGTGTCTCCAATCTTTCGATGTGTACCAAAGCTTCGTCAACCGAAATAAAGTCTTTAACCGTTCGATCGGAAATCGGAAAACTACTAGTGGAAGTAACTCTAATTTGTATATCTTGACTCAAACTCGTTTTAACCTTTCGAATTGTTTTACTTATTGTGAAAAACAAAATTTTCACTTTGATTTTCACTTCCAGTTCTTTGCGGCTTTCTTCAGACGAAAAATACAGGTTCACAAAGATGTACGATTCCATACCGGTCAAAATATCACGCAAGTAATAATGTTTATCAATGTTGGTACAGGTTTGCCAGTTTTGTCCAACTCGAGCGTCTGCTAACGAAGACACTCCTCGGTGTATCCTTTGATGTCTGTAAAGCAGTAGAGATTTCTTATTTCGTTTCACAGTTGTGGTGACCGTTGCTTCGGCACTTGCACCAAACAGCCCGAAAACGCTAACACTGACTCCTCCCATAATCTGCGTATATTCGTATTTTTCAGAGAAATCGGTTTTTCTAGAATATTTCGACTTTGTTTTGATTACGTATGTCTTAACTACATTCCCTTCGTATTTGTGCATATTTTTCCCCGCGCTTTTCGCTTTATTGAACAATGTACATTCTCCCAGAGTCGGTATTTTTCCTGGACTGTCAGCGAAATTTTTTCTGTACATTGGCCCGTTCATATTAAAACCTGAAAGGAAATTTGAAAATCCATCAATAAACCTTTTTCAAAATTCTGGCGTGAGGAGTTTAAGCTTCGCGTTTGAGGGTAACGGCAAACGGTAAAGTCGAATTTTGTTGGCATTCTTTGCTTCATATTTTCTTTCTTGTGTGAAAAGGGTCATTACACATTATAGTTTTAAAATAACAAGTCCATATATAGGACAAATCCGTCTATAACGTAAAATTTTTCTTTGTCCGGCGTTTGTCGTTTGACGTATGGACGCGAAGCTTAAACTCATTATTACTTTGTGACGTCAAACGTAGATAAATATTTCAGAGTACGTTGCAAAACAGCTGCGGGTATGTGGGTATGCGGAGCACCCGTGAGGAAGGTTTACCATATGTAAGATGAGTTAAGAAGGTTTAATGTGGAACACGCTACTCAAACTGACTAACACCATACAACTAGAAGTTACTATCGCAAGGTAAATGCTGCCTCACCCCTGAGGGATCAAAGGCAGCATGCACAATTGCTGAATAATGGGCTGTTTATATGATCCTGCTTTGCCAGAACGAGATGTGAGGCGGGATTATTTTGATGTATTGAAATAAATTACTGTGCACAAAATTCAGGAAAAAACTACATTATTTTCTAGAGATTAAGTTATTAACTGTAAACGAAAGGTTGTTCAAGCAGCAATAATAATCTTCTTGAACTACAAGGTATTTTCTACAACATTTGAGTTGTGTTAACCAACATTTGAATTTTCATTTGTAGCCTGTAGTGACTTATTTCAATACATCAAAATCAATAATACTCGACTATGACTTTCTGAAAATTCAAGATCTTGGGACATATCGTGCGTCGAAATCATAAATCCGTTCATATGTGTCATGTCAAAATACGAAATGTTAATAATAATATACAAGAGTTATAAAAGTTTTTTTTTTCAGAAATCCGTTATGAATTTGTATAGGTCATATTTTCGAGTGCAATATGTTATATGAAAAAAACATGCACGAGTGAGTTTTTCAAAGACGATCAAAATTGCACGAGTGCATTTTGAAGTCTTTGAAAAACTCACTAGTGTATGTTTTCCCAAATTGCACGAGAAACCGTACTATTATAGTATTACTTGTTAATAAGATACATGAAAACATTAGGGGCGGACCATTAGAAATCCCAGGAGGGGGGGGGGTATAAAATTTTTGCGGCACGAATTTTTTTTTCAGTCTCATGTCTCTGCAGGATTTTTTTTTAATGCATTTAACCTCTGCACGAATTTTTTTTCAAGACTATTTGTACTTTGCTGTTTGCTTGCACGAATTTTTTTTCTCTGATGTAAAGGCTGCACGAATTTTTTTCCCAGGCATTTTTCTTTGCACGAATTTTTTTGGGGGGAATTTTCACCCCCCTCCCGGGATTTCTAATGGTCCGCCCTCATGCAGTCATGTCCATGCGTAGGTCTCATGCGAATTAAATAATGCGATGTCCCATTCAAGTAAGTTATGCGGCATTATATATACCTATTCGTTTGTCTGTTATGTCAAATGTTGCAGCACCAAAACTTCTTTTACTCGCCAAAGCTATGTTCAGGACTGGTTCCGGATCCTCTGTCGTATCGTCGGCAAATGCTCTGATCTGGTCGCCTAATTCGTCTGCAGACATGTTGGAATGGTAAGGCCATATCGACAATCTTGCCAGTGGCGAGAACGATAACACTTGATATGGTAGGAACAGCGCAAGGGTTAGTACTTGGAGACGAAACATGGTCGGAATCCGTGGAGTTTATTCTAGAAGATATATAGGTGACTCTAAAAGAAGATTAAAGAAGACGTTATGAGAAAGCACTAAACAATTCAAAGGGTGCAATTGTCGTTATTGTTGTTGTTGTTGTTGTTGTTGTTGTTGTTGTTGTTGTTGTTGTTGTTGTTGTTGTTGTTGTTGTTGTTGTTGTTGTTGTTGTTGTTGTTGTTGTTGTTGTTGTTGTTGTTGTTGTTGTTGTTGTTGTTGTTGTTGCTGTTGCTGTTGCTGTTGCTGTTGCTGTTGTTGCTGTTGCTGTTGCTGTTGCTGTTGCTGTTGCTGTTGTTGTTGCTGTTGCTGTTGCTGTTGCTGTTGCTGTTGCTGTTGCTGTTGCTGTCGTCGTCGTCGTCGTCGTCGTCGTCGTCGTCGTCGTCGTTGTCGTCGTCGTTGTCGTCGTCGTTGGTTTTGTTGTTGGTTTTGTTGTTGCTGTTGAATGTTTTTGGTTTGTTGTTGTTGTTGTTGTTGTTGTTGTTGTTGCTGTTGCTGTTGCTGTTGCTGTTGCTGTTGTTGTTGTTGTTGTTGTTGTTGTTGTTGTTGTTGTTGTTGTTGTTGTTGTTGTTGTTGTTGTTGTTGTTGTTGTTGTTGTTGTTGTTGTTGTCGGTCGTTGCTATTATTATTATTATATTACATTACATTAGCGAAAAGAAAACATTGCATTGGCTATCTTTAAAAGAAGGAACGGGGAATGGACGGGAACGGGGAATAGGGGAATATCTCGGAGAATGGAGGGATATCTCGGGGAATGGGGGAATATCTCGGAAATATCGGGGAATATCATATTCCCCCTTTTAAAGATAGCCACATTACATTAGCGAAAAACGAACTTTTTCTGTCGAGTGAAACGTGATCTACATGACGAGCAGGCAATATTTTGGTTGGGGAAACGACCATTGTTTGAGGCCGGTAGAACAAAGACTGGACGTCGTGCCGAGTTGGGGAATGTGTGAACGTGAAGTAGAGCAATGAATGCCTTGCCTTTGGATGTAACAATTTTATACTAGAATATAGATACATGTACATTCGATTTTTGCTATAGATATACCGGTTGGTAGTTTAGAAGAGTCTTTAAATGTTAAGAACAGGTGAAACGAAATTCAGATTTAAAAATAAAATTTACACAGTTGAAAGTTGACAGTCATGAAATGGTTCATTTTTTACATGTGAAACGTGAAATGCCAAATGGTTGTTTTTTCTTTACGTGAAAGGTAATCCGAACTCCCCTTTAACTTTAATACCCTCAAATTTCTATACTTTACCTGAGGCACTCCGGCGGATCATATAAGCACTAGCAGCAGCACAACTCAATATCCCTGAATACCTGAAATCGTCGTAATCTTTGCCTAAATGAACTGTCAAAACTGGACTTTTGCTTTCGAAACCCAAAAGCAAAACTATGATGTGATACCACTGACATGCAGTGTTCTATTTTATGGATATGTACCAACAAAGAACGTAATTTCGTTTGGAAAATTTAGCCGGTATCGAAATTAAGTTTAGATATTGCTCTCGGCAGGGTCTGAAATTTACTGGTGGCGTTTCGTTTAATAACCGAGACCCTTTATTAGATGCTGCGAGAAACAAAATAATCACTGAAATAAATGAAAATTTCCATCTTGCCATTGAATGCCAGTGGCGTAACCCGCGGTAATATCCTCGTGTTTCATGGTCCTCGCGAATATATTTCTCCATAGTAACCCCAATGACAATCCTACACAATTCAACCGTCACCGTAAATTGTCGTAATGTATTCATAATTTTGCAATATTTCAAATTTTATAATTTTATAATTTTGAGTTTAATAGGCAAGCTTTTCGATTTGCGGGTGCCAGGATTTATAATGAGCCCCCACTTGAAATAAGGGGCGAGAAGGATTTTAAAACTTTTGGTTGGACAAATAGTTTAGTTTAGTTAGAGACTAGTGTAACAGCTTTTAATGTGGGTCATATTTGCATGAGTTTAATGAATTTTAGATAGTTAATTAGTATAAACGGGACACGCATATATTGGTAACAGTAGCATGCAGTTACTGTCCATCCTCTGTAAAAATAAATAAATAAACATCTTAATTTATTCACCGTTAAGACGTCTCAAGTCAAAGACGGAAAGTCAGTTTAAGAAAAGATGTTTCAAAAAAATTCTTTTGTGGGGCGGGAAACACAAGACCTTAGGGTGTGTTCATATGTTTGTCGGGTGGCTAACCTGAGTGTGACGGGGGAGACATTATGTCAACATGTCGTCTTCGTAATGATTTTTTGTTGTTGTAATTAAACAAATTGCATCTTGTGTTACGGTTTAAAAAAATGTCCAGTGTCCATTAACTCCTGGTCATTGGTGGGACTGATAAAGTCTTCATTGCCTACACATGGAAAATTATATCACACTTGACCATAACTGGAACGCTACCTTCAGATAAATTAAACTGCCTGTCTTTGTCTTGACTCTTGAAGCCAAATTTTGACCCCCATGCAGACACGCGTGTCTGGGGGTCAATACCCGCGTATTTATGCCATGATTGATTGATTGAGCGCTCTTTGTATGCGTGAAAAGACTGGGACTACACGCGTAAAAACGCACAAGTTGTTACAGGTCTGCAAACAAGTTGTTGCAAATCTGTTCACAAGCTGTCAACAAGTTGTCTTCGCACTGCTTGTTCCCAGTTGTTGTAACAAGTTTGGAACAAGCTGTTAACAACTTGTAACAAGCTTGATGGCATCATCAGACTTGTTACAAGGTTGTTCTAACAAGTCTGATACTGTCATGGTATAACAAGAATGTTACAAGGTTGACGTCTTGACGACACAAGGTCGTGACAATACTGTTATATCATGACTGCATCGGACTTGTTGGAATGCAACAAGTCTGATAATATCAACAAGTTGTTAATTTAACAGCGTGTTCCAAATTTGTTGACAACTTGGGACAAGCCGTCGGCGAAGATAACTTGTTGGCAGACTTGCTATAAGATGTGAGATTTTTGTGTGTGTAGCCTTCGGGTTTGGCTTCAAATTCCTGGTTGAAGGTCGCGTTCCAGTTGGGGATTTATTTGATTTGTGCGAGACTGTGATTGTCACCTATAAAATGACACCATTGTTTTTTCGATTACATGACTTTCGGTAGCCTGCGCGCAGACTATATAATGACATATATAATGTCATTATATAGTCTGTGCGCAGGCTAGACTTTCGGCGATTACATGACGCTTTACAGCCCAGCTTCAACAGGGCTTACAATTCTGGCAGGATTCAAATTAATCAGTAGATTAATTTGTGTCCGCATATAATCACTTGCTGTCTTTTAACAGGAATTTAACCTTCACTCCAGGCTGACAATTCTCCATGTAAATCAGCCCAAATCAGCCCTAAAGCAAGCTCATTCCCAGGGTCTTCTAAGCAGAGAAAAAAAGGTCGTCAACTTTAGGGTTAGTCTCAGGGTTAGTGGTTAGGGTTGGGGTTGGGGTTATGGTTAGGATTAGGGTTAGGATTAGAGTTAGCGTTTGGATTAGGGTTATTGTAATTGTAGACCCATTACAACGCAATACTTTATTGCATACAATGGATCGATTTACAAGTACAACGCCAATAGATTATTGGTTACAACGTGCGGAACGGCCGTTCAAGTTCGTGTTAATTCGTGTTGGGCGCAAGGCTATCAAAGGTTCAAAGGTCAAACTTGTGCAGCCGCTGAAAATAAAGACGACGGTCGCGTTACACGTGAATAAAAATTTAAAAATTTTGTGGTCGAAGCGAAACAGTCTACAAATCGAGCATTTTTCACGACGAAATATCCAAAACTGTCGCTTTATCTGGGTAAGTTGAACAGTTTAAAACGTTTACTACATATCCTGCAAATAACTTACGGCTTTTAGATTATACGTGAAAATTATCACGCATTTTGAAGTCTGGATTAGACGTCAATATAAAAGTGTATAAAATTACCGGTATTGTACAACGATCGTTTTGTACAGGAATATTTCAACATATTTTACAAATTCTTTCTGCAATTCATAGCTAATAATGTATATTCCGACGTTTACTTAATCTTGGTTTATTATCGTGTGTTTTTATTGTACATTTGAAAATTTTAAATATCGCGAAATCACGCTGTTGTATTACGCAACAATAAAGGGGGATGATTTGGAGGCCGGGCCGAGCAATGTGCTAAAATGTTTAATCTTTTTACAAACATTTTATGCTTTCTTGTTCTCAATTTAAGCCAGCAAACATGGGAGTCTGTACACAAAAGCTAGACGAAATTTTAAGTTCCAAAACGAAACGGAAAACAATAAAATATTAATTTTAGTTTGGACTTTGGGGTTGAAAATGACGTAGAAAGTTCGCTTCCAAATTTTATAATAAAGTAGCCCGATATTTTGACGTAACACAAATTTCCAGTTAAGTATTAAATTACTATAATTTGTTGTATGTATTCGTAACATAGCTTTTTTTACAAGACGAGCCCTTTAAAGTCTTTCAATATATATGCAAAACTATTGTGGCCCATATTTATTAATAATTAGCCAAGTTGTTGAATAATATGTTGTTTGGGTATTAATTGGCTGCTTTACTGTTTTGTTTTGTGAGCATACTGCGTGATTTATTGCTGTATTTTGTAAGGGATTGTGCTATAAAGTAAGAGATTGTTTGCCTTCCGGAAAAGCTATCCATGCATTTCAAGTGCTTTTTAATATCAAAACTAACAAGGTTCATGCAATGTATTTTAATGCAGAAATCTGTACGCTTGATAATTATGCACAAATTTCAGGTCTGTTTTTTGTTTGAGCTATGCATTCTGAGAACCTGAAATTAATTCATATTTCTATGTGTAACTTGTTTTGGGAAGTGTTTAGGTGTGAAATAATTTCTGGCTTTTGAAAAGGAGTTCTTGGATACATAAGTGACAGAAAGTTATAGAAATTTCAATTAGGGCAATCTGAGTTTAAGCTTGAGGTCAACCTCAATAATCTCATTTTGTTTAGATATAACTTAACATATCCTTGTGGGAGGTAAAAGCTGTCAAGCTAGCTAGCTGTTACTGATACTAGCATTGAAAATTTTGGGAATGATTTAAAATGATACAGGTTTCAAGATTGAGAACATGAAACATATTAACCCATTGAGCACCAACACTCTCCCTTGACAAGTAAAATCATCTGGTTGTTAGACATGGTAAAACAAAAAGTGGGTTGCATTAGGCTGCAATACAACTTAATGGTTTAACTAGACACATGGGCTGATTAACCCACTAAGCGCCAATGCTCCCCAGCTTGATGAGTAAAATCGTCTGGTGTTAGACAGTATAAAACAACATGGTGGCCGGGTGAAATATAACTTAATGGATAAACTAGACATGTGGGCAGATTAAACTAGACATGTGTGCAATTAACCCAATGAGCGCCAATGCTCTCCACTTGATGAGTAAAATCGTCTGGCATAAGAGTAAAAAAGTTAACAAAGTGGAGCACATTAAGGCGCAGTGCAACTTAATGGGTTAAATAATATATATTGTTTAGTCGGAGAATTAAACTGAATAGTCTGAATGACTGATTGAAATGAACTCAATGACAGGTTGAAATTTGTTCGATCATTAAATTTAGTATGTGATGATAAGTTTTCTACTTTCAGTCCCAGAAATACTTGTAAATAAGTTCTATATTTTTTTATTTATAGTTTTGAGAATGACTTTATTTCTAGCTTGCATGTGTATGCGAGATAATTCCTATAGTTCTATTTACCTTCTGTATATATATTTTTAATATGTACTATATGATCTGTGAATAAACTGTCCCATGATGATGTCAGGAAAATTTTTCTTCCAAGACTGAATGTTCGATATTAATTCTCAGATTGCAAAAGATAGTATGCCTGCAGTTGCAACAGATTTAGATGCAGTTTCAACCAAGGAAGGGGGTAAGAAGCCTCAAGATGAGAATGTAGCTAAATGTCCGTTTGCGCACAACAAACATGCGGGAGATACTGCTGATGATGATTTTGGAATAGAGACAAACGGAAATGAACAAAATGGTAAGATTAAGAACTTTGTAATTGTGAATGGTGAATACATTGCCAGTTCTTTTGTTCTATTGTTATACCACACAATTGAAGGTTCTAGATATATACCGTATCTAACAAACTTTTTTCTGGTTCTAACAAACGTTTTTAAAATTTTTATAACTTCCAGTAACCGTGTGTACATATAACTGTACAGTATAATGTTTATAACTTCCTGTAGCTCTAGTGATTATGAGGAATTATCAAATTTCACATGTAATCTATTTCATGCATTAATGCCTTAATGGAACTGCTGACCATAGTGGATACACAGCAAAAAGCTCAAAATTTTGACCACTCCTTGCAGCTTTGTGTTACCAGCGTAGATATAACAAGACTGAAACTGATGTCCAATTAAAGGCAATAGCTCCATCTTGACTTTTTCGACTTAGGTTCCCACTCCAGGTATATATATATATATATAGCTCACTGCCCTCACATCTTTCCTCCCTTCACCTCCTCCCAGCAGCATCAATCATGGTATCACTTCTTGTCTCAACTACAGTACTCCTTCCCTCCATCACATTTTCCCTGTTAACATCCCCCCTCCACCCTCCTGTTGTTATTCCCCTTTCCTGTTGTTAATTTTCCCCTCTTCCTGTTCTTCTTCCCCCATTTCCCTGGTCAGTCCCCCACCTCCCTGTTGTCAATTACCACTCTTCCTATTGTCACCCCCCCCATTCCTCTGGCCAGTTCCTCTCCTCCCTGTTGTCAATTTCCCTCCTCCCTGTTATCAATCCCCTCCTGTTGTCACC